ATAACATCGGACGTATTGAGCTGCGTTGGAAAAATTGTGGGAATATTTAGTGTGATAATTCAGTATATGATACCGTTATAAGTGTCATCTGTTACCTCTTCAGCGTCGTTATTTTTAGCAGCGCTTTTGGTCGCTGTACGCGCTAGCAGCCGTGTTGGAAGCGCCGACGGCGTTTTCTGCTTTTCTTGCTCTCTTGCGCGCGTTCTCACTTGCTCCTTTGGCTGCGCCTTAGGCTGCTCTTGATTCGTTTCTTTTACTTTCTCGGCTTTATCCGTTTTCGTCGCTGATTGTTCAACAGTTTTCTGTTTACTGCTTTCCTTTGTCTGCCGCTTTGCTGGACTTGAGGTGATGCTTGTCGTTGTTGTTTGACTTTGAGCACCTGCATTGCTATTGGGTATTGAATTTGAATCGGCGTCGTCGTCTACAACAAGTGTTGGCAGGTTTGCACGTCGTTTATTACGCACTTTTGTCGCATCCTTTACAGTTTCTACGGCTACCTCCTGTGCCTCAGTATTTTTCTCAGCATAACGTAAATTTCGCCTTACTCGTGTATTACGCACCTGGTGCTCTTCATGTGCTGATTGCTCCGATTTCTTATCGGAATCTATGCGCGCCTCAATGCGTATCTTTGGTGAGCGTGGCGGTCCATCACCCGCTTCGCTGTCCGATTGTCCACGTGTTGAGTTCAGTGATTTGCGCAGATAACGATGGCCCACGCGATTCTCGCGTCCATACGTTGTCGGCACACGCGCCGAAGGTGAGATATCTTTCGTTATTATGCTGTCATCGGTAGCTGCTTGTTGAGCGACTGTGGTTGCTTCCGACGCAGTAGCCGTCATTTCTTCGCTAGAAGTAACAATCTCTGGCGCAACCTCTGGAGCCACAGCATTGGCGTCCTCCGTTAAGTTGGCGCCACTTTCTGTGCTGGCAGGTGGCGGTTGTGGCGGCGGTTGTTGCGTGGGCTCATCTACCTTTTCGCTTGCCGCCGTTTTACTTTGTGCAGTAGGCACGATTGCGGTGTCGTTATCATTATTCGCGTCATTCTCCGTTTCATCGTTGCTGTCCTAAGTTGTGTCAATAGCATTAGTGTTACTGTTATTATCCAGATTGAAAAGAATATGTTTTTTTTTTTACCTCTTCGCCCTCGGAATCATTTATTGCCGACTTGCGTGCTGGATTATAAGTGCCATCAACCAGACCTTTGAAATCTATGATAAGCTTGACAGTTCGCGGATCAAGATCAGCCTAAAACAGGTATTTTAATTTTGTATTAAACATATTTTCGCGATTTTTTGTTTTTACTCTTTACCTTTATCAACTTATCGGCGGTTTCTTTCAATTCACGCTTGAGCTGTTCATTCTGCGTGACACTCAACTCGAGTGTGGTCAGTTCTTTGGCCAGGAGTTTGCATAAGTCTTTGTTGGTCAAATTATTCAGCATCTCTTGCAAGATAGTCTGTGCGATTTTATTGTGTATCCAGCCATCGGTTATGGGCGAACTCTCCTGGCGTGTGGAGTCTATGATAAAGCGCGTTATAGTTTCGGGGCGTATTTCGTGCAGCGGATTCTCATAAGGCGCACTCAGCACGGTTGTCAACATAGGCAGTAGACAAGGTTGTAGCAGACCGTGCCGTTTGCACTGTATAAGATTTTCCAGAAAAACACCCAAGATTTGATTGATATTTGCATCTAGCAAGATATATGGAAAATATTAAAAATTATCTAAATAAAAATCGTTAAACACACTATAGTGTACCTGTGCTGGGATTAAAGTAACGCAGCAGCAATTTCTCAATGATATCGCTGGACTTGATGTAGCCGCGTAATATGAGGCGACAGAAGCCAACAATGATGGCGCTAACGATGCAAGTGTCGTCGCAAGTGTCGAGAAAATGTGACATCATATAGATGACGTCCACACCTTGACCGGCGCTTAGCACATTGGAATCATCTTCGCTATCCAAAAATTCCAAAGTGTTGTAAAGCTGGCGGCCGCTTTTCTTCGTTTTATTTTGCGATTCTTGTTTAGCAAAATTATCCAAACCATATCTGCGTAAGCGATAAATTATGAATTTAACATAGTTCAGTGAATTTACTACTACAAGTGAACAAAAAAATACCTGTCCAGCAGTTCAAAAATGCACGTTATCGAGGTCTCCCATATACGAATATTGTGATTTTTGAAAAATTGTGAATACAACTCCTCGAATACATCCTTAGCCAACACCTCATACAGCATACTGCAGGCAGTACCGCATTTCAGCGCCCAATCGCGTATGGCTATTTGATTCGAAGCAAGATGACGACATATAAAATCCTGTGAAGTTGGAGTTATGTTAAACTTAAGCTGCTACAACAACAACAACATTCTAATACTCACATTATACAGTTTCAAAATGCTTGGATTAAGCGAGCGCACTTTCGGCGAAACGACCATGTGGAAGGCAATTTGCAAACTTTTCAATATGCACTCGGGTTTCAATGTTTTACGCAACTGTAACGGACGTTTTAACTGCAAATAATACGTTCAAGTAATTTGTTAATTCGTACAGATACTAAAATATGGTAGAGGCTTACGGCATCAGCATTAGGATGATTCTCCAAAAGTGGTTGCAATAAATTGGTATACTCCTCGGTGGCAGCGAGCTTCTCCTCTGTTGTTTGTTGCGCACGCATATAATCTTTTTGCTTTACAAAATCCATTTCTTGCTCTTCCAAATCCAAAATTTTTACTTTCAGCGATGATAATTTCAAATTTAGATCGGCATTCGATGAAGTCGCCAACAATTCGGTAATTAACGTGCGATCATGCAATAGATCATTTTGCCTGTTATTCAAACCGCATATATCTTGTACGATTTCCACAATAAACTAAATATGATAGATTTATAATATCTTCTAATAAATTAAAAATGAAAGTAATGCTCACCTGTATACGCGCATTTTGATCAGTTATTAGATTTTCCGTACAGCGCACTATCATCTCAATTACTTTCTCATCCAGACGGAATGTTTTCAACAGATACGCCAGTAGTTTTTGCAGATTACCACGACCGATCTCATCACCCAAATCGAATGTGTACAGCATTTCCGTGAGTGAGAGTAGTTTGTATTGAAATTCCATGACCTCAAATTTGTCCATATCCGGTTTCTGCAAGTGGCAGAATCTGTAAGGATTACACGAATATAAATTAATATAGAATTTAATATACTATCTAATATAAGATTATAAACATTATTGGGCAACTTAAATTTCAACTTACTTCTCCACATATGTACAGAATGTGCTCAATTCGGGCACTATTAAATCATGTTCCTCTGCCAATTCCGCTTGCAAAAACTCGGTCAAGCATTGCCAGTACAATGCAATTTCCATTGACAGCTTTTCGTATGGCACCAAACGATGCATCTCGCCATCTTCATCTAATGGCACACAAGCAATCAAGTCGTCCTTCTTCTGACGCCTTAAATGTTGGAAAATAAATTTTTTTTTTATTGAAAAGTTTACATTAAAAAATACTCACTTGAATAGCTCCTTAAGCGTTTGCTTTGTCACTTTACGAAAACGATCGATTTCGCTTTCACTAGAATCTAACTTTAGCGCTGATATGAGGGCAATAAGATCTTTTTGATAAGATTCTATCCATTGCTGCAACATTATTGTGACTACCACTTTGCGTACAGCATCTGAACGATCATTTAGTCCCTGCTGCAGTAAGGTCAAACGCTGTGACACCTTATATGAGCGCACTGGGTAACTACTCATATGTAAATATGTATGGCGACGAACTTTTTCGTCAATATCCCATAAACGATCCAGTATATAAGGAATGGTATGGTAGTTGCGACCCATACATGTTATTACTGCTTGTCGCACACGTGACGACGGATCGGAACAAAGATGAAACTGATAAGCACGCAGCACGGGATCGTCTGGATTGTCTGGTACTTGCAAACGTTGCATTGCTAATATTGCTTGCACACGCACATTCGGCGAAGTATCGTGCAAACGATGCAACATATATTCCAATATGCGATCGCATATGGCATCGTCTAGAGCTGCTTCTTGCCCCAGCGCCTTGAGTATCATATTAACGAATTGGCAAATTCGAAAACGTATGTGTGGATTACGCGAAATGGTCTACAATCATATAAATAACGTATATTACATCCAAGTATGATGGCTATAATAGTTAACACTTACCGTAAGTAGCCACTTGCACATATCAATTAGCACAGGATGTGTATCCTCGCCATCATATGAACTTACAAATTTAGAACAAAATAATAATGTCGTATCGGCGTACTCATTACCCTCATCGGCGACCATTGCAGTTTTTATCATTTTAATGAATGTAAACATAAATGCATCATGGTCCATCTAAAATAACAGTATATAAATAAACATAGAACAAAACGTCCCGAATTTGTTATCTACACACCTTGGCGTACAGTTGCTTCAATTCTTTAACATATTTTTTGTGGCTTGTTTCATTTAATTGCACATTGGACATTATTGTATACATGGGGCCGTGCAACATCATTGAATTGCTGGCCGTAGCGCTAACACCACCACCCCGCTGACGGCTTGCTGCAACTGTATTTTCTTTTTCTTCATCTGCAATGGGTATTTTTCTTTTTCGACCCATTTTTTAAGATCTTTGAGTTAAGTGTTAGCGTTAACAATCGTTTATTTTATTATTATTTGACACAAAACTAAAAACAAATAAGAAAAAATGCCACCGCTTACTACTCCATTTGTAAGACTTGACTTGTCAAACGTTCCGTTAAAATTTTCTTGAGCAGCGTCCCTTTTTCCAATGTGGCCATATTTTAAGTAAAAAATATTAATCCTGAAAGGTTGCATTTCACACCACAATATATTAAATTAAATTAACTATTTATATAAGATTAATATTAATATTTTAAACTTTTACAGATTAATAGCAAAATGAAATTCAAATTTCTTTAAAATTTTATTTTAGAAGTAAAAACATAAAAATAAATTTGATATTTTCCAACACTGAACTCAGATCAAAACAAAAATAGTGATAGAATAAATTACAATTGTCGTGGAATGCAAAAACGTGCCGTCATAACATAGCATATATTTAAATTTTCTGTGAATTTCACAGTTTACTGTTCAATAACACAATTTGTAAAAATGAATGATACTTCTCACAGAATAAAAAATTCCGACTATACAGTTTATGCATCAGCTGCTTGCAATCCCACTCCCCATTGCGCCGATTGGGGTGATAACGGACTGATTGTTTTCGGCGCACACTTTTCTGTGGCGGTAGTTGATCCTAACGTAAGTAAAGTGTTTATATATTATTATATTATTAACCAATAATAATAAAATTTAAATTTCTTTGAAAAATAGTATAACGGTTCTGCCAAGCATATTGCTACTTATAAAGGCCATGAAGCACGTGTCAATACAGTGCATTGGTTGCGCTTGCCGACCGCTGAGCCTGAAACATACTTTATATCTGGTGCCGATGATTGCAAAGCTTTTGTATGGGGATTTGCTAAAGAGACAGGTGATGTGCGTTTTGAACCACTTTATCATGATGGCCCCGTCACAGATATTGCAAGTCTCTACTTGGAACACAATAAATGGTTAATTGCTACAGCTGCTGAGCAGACTATAGCACTGTGGAGCTTTAACACTTTAAATACTGAATTAGTGCAAAAAATTAGTAATAACAATAGTTACATACTCGGGCTTAGTTTATTTCGTATGCCAAAGAGTGAGCAGTTTCTTTTAGCTTATGGAAATGATAAAGGCAACATTTATATTTGGGCACAAAATAAGCCACTTAAAGTTAGTAGCGCTGAGCCGGATGCACAACCATTTCGTATGGTACATCATATGACCGGCCACGAGGATTGGGTGCGAGCGCTTGATGTTATCGAAGATGACGATGATATTTTATTGGCAAGCGCTGCTCAAGACAATTTCATACGGCTGTGGCGCATTTCAAAACGCACCGAGGAGCAAGCATTCGAAAATAAGGTTAATATTTGTAATATAATCGAAGAAGATGCTACTGAAATACGAGTCGAGGAAAAAATTATACATTTAAGTGAAAACAACTGGTGTGCGATTAGCTTGGAGTCAGTACTCTACGGACATGAAGGTTGGGTGTATGGCGTGAATTGGCACAGATCTAAGGAACACGGTAGTAGCAAATATAGACGAATGATTTAAAATTTCGAAACAAAAAAATTATTTAAATACCTCTTGTAGGTGTACGTTTGCTTTCTGTTTCAATCGATAAGTCCATAATAATTTGGGCACCTAGTGAAGACGGCGTGTGGATGGAACAGGTGCGTGTAGGTGAAGTAGGTGGTAATTTGTTGGGCTTTTATGGTGGAAAATTCTCCAGTGATGGCAAATCCATATTTGGACACAGCTATCAGGGTGGCTTCCATATTTGGCATCAAACGGTGGATAATGAAAACCTTTGGTCACCCGGTGTCATAATAGGTGGACATTTCGATGAAGTACGTGATTTGGCTTGGGCGCCAAATGGGGAATACTTATTGAGTGTGTCGGCCGATCAGACTACACGCATACATGCACCATGGCGACGTTCCAATGACGAAAGCGATGACATGGTGACTTGGCATGAATTAGCACGTCCACAGGTGCACGGCTATGATATGCAGACTATTGCAATACTATCACGTTACAAGTTTGCCAGTGGAGCCGAAGAGAAAATTGTGCGCACATTCCAGGCGTCGGCCAATTACATTGAAAACTTCAGACGCATTACCGGTGCTCAAGATGATGCTGAGGGTGAAGATTTATTACAAAGTATGTTTCCTGGCTTTCAATTCTAATATCCAAACAAGTGTGCTCAATCATAAATTTATTTCATAGCTTTACCCAAGGGCGCTTCTGTACCTTCACTGGGTCTATCAAATAAGGCAGTGTACAGTGCTGACATAGACTCGGTGCCAAAGGAAAAGCACATTAAGGACGAATACCCTGAAAATTATTTTATACCGGTTACGCTTGACTCGCCGCCACAAGAAGAGACACTTATGCAAAATACGCTTTGGCCGGAAATGCAAAAACTTTACGGTCATGGCTTCGATATTTATGCACTCACCGCTTCACCAGACGGCAAAGTGCTGGCTTCCGCATGTCGAGCCACAAACGAGGAGCATGCGCAGATAATACTTTGGTAAGACGTTATTTTCTAATAAAATATGCATATGTATAACATTTCTTCACCAAATTATCTTACAGGGACACCACAACTTGGAAGCAAATTGGAAAACTTGCCGCGCATAAACTTACAGTAACTCAGATGCGCTTCTCACCAAATAGTAGGCTATTGCTCTCTGTCTCACGTGATCGCACATGGGCACTTTTTGAACGTGATGAAGATGTAACCACCACCAATAATCTACCAACTTATCGGCTCAAACAAAAATCGGCAGCTAAAATGTCGGTGCATAATCGTATTATTTGGACATGTGATTGGTCGCATGATGGAAAATATTTTTTGACTGGTGGTCGTGATGCCGTACTAGGTGTGTGGGCACAAGTTAATGGTGATAAATGGGACATAGGGCTCAAGGAAACATATGAAAATCCCGTGACTGCACTTGCTTTTGCACCGAAACTGGTAAAGTCTGGGTTATATCAGATTGCCATAGGTTTTTCGAATGGTGATATAGCGCTGCAACAGTTGGTAGAAAATGAAAAACAGTTAAAAGCCGTTGACGAGAGGTAAGTGTTGGTTGAAAAAATTAATTTGAGTTATTCTATGCCCATGCATAACTTCAATATTTCTATTTCGAATTTGCAGCAAAATTACTTTTGAAAAGGCGCATGACTCTGCAGTGAAGCGTTTGCAGTTTCAGCCATTGCGTGATGGTTATAAGTGCACGTCCGACCATTTTCTACTAGCCAGTTGTGGGGACGATCATTTCGTTAGAATATTTAAATGCCCGCAT